CGGGAAGGCCTACACTTCATCTATCTATAAGACATATGCTTAATGGCTCCCACTTTAAACTTCTGAATAAGCTTATAAAAGGTATAGTTCACCCTAAAATGAAAATTCTATCATTCTATGTTCACCTTCATGTCATGAACTATCCCTTTATCAATGTAGAGTCACCACAAGCTCTTACCGCCCAATACGACTCCTTCTCCTGCAGGACATTTTTTAATGGCCTCACAGTATTCGCAGTTGATCAGAGAGCAGTGGAAACCCTGCTTGCACTGACAAGGTTCAGCCGCTGTAGGGTTGTGTAAACGAGTGCGGTTAAATCCTTTACCTGCAGAGAATGATTGGTGCGTGGTGTCAAAATATAATGCAAAATTAAACAACATTCTTTCTTTACACACATTATGTGACACTGACCCTCATCACAGAACTTCTGAGGAATACATTTAGTGTCACTGTTCCAGTCCGGCTGGTATTCTTCATGGCCACAATCACGGCACTTTGTGCTCGAGCTGCCGTCGCAATGGGCGAAAATGTATTTTCCTGCATTCAAAGGAAAATCATGCAATAAGTTGCCCATCTAAAGATGCAAATGTGTTAGCCCTTTAAGTCATTGGAAAAGGTCAGTGAATGCATATTGAGAAGATGATGTTCTTCTGAATTGTATAGTGGAAGTTAGGTTATAGTTCGTTTGGGTGTGTGTAGGCCTCTTCCTCTTTTTCTTATCCTTCTGCTTTTTAAAATGGGAAAAAACGAGCCGATTTAGACCTGATTTTATTTTTCCCAGACAGGCTTCACTCACACCATAAAATGAATGTATGGATTGTTTTATAGTGTCTTCTACATAGTATAATAAACTAGTCTGCATTGCTGCTCACCTGGTTCACATTTTCTGCAGCATCCCCCGTTGTGCTCATATTCGTTTTGTTGGCAGCTTATGGCCAGCCCTGCCTGAAATTAAAAGTTACAACAATAGTTAAACAAACGTATTGGCTCTTATATGATAAAATGTTTGTGATATTCCTCATTTAAAAGTCATTTTGGATAAAAGCATCTGCTAAATGGCAAAACGTAATGCCAAACTACAGCAACACACATTTATGATAGACAGATACTAAATGAATTGTGCAGCTTTGAGAGTCTCGCAGGTCACCCATGAGAGGTTTTTAGTGACAGATATTTACCATGGGAGAAGCACAACTATTTAGCACTCATAAAAAGAAATGTTTCAAATCAGCATATGAGAGTGATTTCTGAAGGATCGTGTGACACTGAAGACTGGAGTAAAGGCAGCTGTAAATTCAGCTTTGCCATCAGAAAAAAAAACGTATTTTAAATTGTAATAATTTGACATTATAACTGTTTTACTGTGTTTTTGATCAAACAAACACAGCCTTGGTGAGCATAAGAGTTTTTTACAAATATTATTTTCAATTCCAAACTTTTGAATGGTAGCTCATATTCTTTTTCTCAACATAAAACTAACACCTTTCTGAGCCATGTTTATAATGACTTTTAACCAACGGGTTCCAAGTTTGATCAGTATCAATTTAATTTTGAATAGTACATTTCTTATTTTACTATTGTGAAAACATTCTTTCTTTAATTTTTTTTTGTTATTTTTCTTAAACTGCATGCCAAGTGGTTATTCAGTAATCTGATGCAATGGCATTCAGGCATTTTTAAGTGTGGCTTAAGCATTCAGATATTTTTTGGGGTCATTGTATCTCCAGTCTGTTGGGTGATTTATATAGTAACAGAAAAACTACACAAAGTTTGGCCTGTTTGAACATTCTCTGGTCGGGGAATGAGAATCTTCAAGGAATAAGGATAATTTGAGTGGTAAAAGCATCAGGGAATGAAAGAGTGGGGGAGTGTGTGTATGGTGAGGGGGTATTGCCCAACTCAAAGGAAGAAAAAAGCAAGAAGAAAAGCAAAGAACACCACCCACATCCCTCCAGATACCACAAAAGCATTCCACGGTTTAACAGCAGGGCAGAATTAAATGCAATCCTTTAATTCAGTGCAAATCTGAGAAAATCTAGCTGTCACTCATGTAAAAGATGATAAAAAAAAGAAAATAGTGCCAAGCTCAGCATACTGGGCTCTCGTGGAGGTGAAAAGGACTTGGCTGAAGCACCAGGTGCTTCTTTGTAGACTGTTAAAATAGGTAGAAATAATGCTCAAATTCAACTTTTTGCACGATCCAGTGAAAAATAAATTGCTTTCAAGCCTTAAGTTTTCTGTATTCTAGCCAACACATATTTTCAAATGATAGAAATGGAAGAGAAATATTGTTTGTATAGGGACTACAGAAGACGATTTATGAAATACAAAAGCTCTCTTTATCTCTCTAAAGCAAAAAAAAAAAAGCAGAAGCAAACATTTTCCTGGGATTGATCATGGATCAATGGATGTATCCATCATGCCAGTTGGAAAAATCGGTGGGTATCATGGAAATTCATGAGGAAATAAGATTTCCTTATCAGATTTGTTGATAACAAGTTTTGTCTAAACAAGGGACTAGTTCACTTCACTAAAACCAATTTATTCAAATGATGAAACATGTCCTATATTCCTTGATGTACATGAAACTCAGTATAATATATATACACACACACACGTACTCCTACTGCAGTGTGTCTAAATGTCATTTTTTTAAATTAAAATCACCTTTAAATGTAAAACAATAAATTACAATAAACATTCAATAAATTGAATATTTGAAAATATTCTCCTCTTTGTTTCTATTAAGATTTTATACATAGTTAAAGATTACATTTTGAGGGTTTTTCTACCACTGCTGAAGGACCTAAAGACCTTTTGATGAACGCATGCGAAAAAACACAGGAAACCCAAAAGGAATGTCCAGAGTTCATTTCTGATCCTCTACATTCGAATGTAAGGCTATACTCGGGCAACAAAACATATTTTCATTGACTAAATATATAAGATCATGGTCAGTGACGCCCTGAAAAATTATATGTTAGAGAATATGCACCAGACACAGAGAAATCAGTTCTCACAGGATATAGCAGAAGCACTCAGATAACTCACAGTTCTAATGACTCAGTTCAGTCAAGTCATGTGCATTGCTTTGCATTTGTTCTCTTTTGAATGCAAAAAGATAGCAATGTTGTGTTACTGTATTCTACAACTGAATAATATATAAATAAAAGTCATTTATAAATAATTTAGCTTATAAATAGTTCAACAAAACACAACCTGGCAACTACATATTCAGACCTGCGTGTGATGCAAAAGAAAACATGCTAAAACTTTTGACCTGATGCAACATTAGATAACTCCGAAAACAACTGAATGAATGAAAATATGAATGAATGAAAAAAAAAAGATCTGTAAAATTTGATATGTATTACAATATAATATACAATATATAAATACAATATAATAGATGTTGTCAAATTCCAATATTAGGTTTTTTTCCCGAAATGTTTGCATGGAGCAAAAGTTTTTGAGAGTTTTGGAGTTTTAAGCTGGAGTTTTACTCTATTCCTAGGAATGTAATGATAATTTACATTTGATGAGTATCACATTTACATTTGGTGGAAAGATCCAATGATTTTTTATATATATATATATATATATATATATATATATATATATATATATATATATATATATATATATATATATATATATTAAAAAAACACACTGCACACTTGAGGATAAAACCATCATGAACAAAGCACAATGCCAGAAACACCACATGGAGTTCCCCTCAAAGTGTGCAACAATTCAGATTCCAGGGAAAAGTTCAGAAAAATCTGACAGGGAAGGACAGAGTGGGGATGTGTCTCAAAAACCTAGTGAGTGGTCAGCCTAGAAAGCACTTTTGTCTAGGTATGTCTTCTCAATTTTGGACAACAGACTAAGTTAGTGACAGGATGTCCAGCTATTTCTGCGAAGCGGTTCATTTGAACGGTTCATTTCAATGAACCGGTTCAAAAAAGATTCATCGATTCTCTTGTCATTGCGTCATCATTCGGACTTCACTGTAAGTAATGTGTCCCAGTTTAGTTTGTTGCAGCCACAATTAATCTTAGATTTAATAATGTTAAACCATGTTAAAATTAACTGAAAAGATGAAATTCGGTTTATTAAAACCAACCCGCTTCGTGCTCGTGTTGACAAAACAGTCAATAAAGTCACAAACACTTATTTGCAGCGCGCTATATTTTTAACATTTCCGCCGTTCGGCTATTAAGTTACTTAATTTTCGCCCCATTAGTCAAATCCTCGGTTCACTACAAACGCTTCTATATTAACGAATCTTGATTCACTACGAACTGGACTTGTCCGAGAGAAACAGGTCAGAAGTTGTCGACACGAGAACCGTTTGGGGCGATTCAGTCAGATCGAACGAAGCGATCAGACCAGTTTTTGAGATTCATTGCAAAGATCCGACTCAAACGAACGAGTCATTCACGATTCGGAACTACAGCACTAAGTGTACACAACCCGTTTCCGCAACAAAGCGCTGAAATAAATAGAAGGGAATAAGGTAGTTTAGCACTGAGGTGATAAAGAAGTTTCCAGGTAATGTGTCCCAGTTTAGTTTGTTGCAGCCACAATTAATCTTAGATTTAATAATGTTAAACCATGTTAAAATTAACTGAAAAGATGAAATTCGGTTTATTAAAACCAACCCGCTTCGTGCTCGTGTTGACAAAACAGTCAATAAAGTCACAAACACTTATTTGCAGCGCGCTATATTTTTAACATTTCCGCCGTTCGGCTATTAAGTTACTTAATTTTCGCCCCATTAGTCAAATCCTCGGTTCACTACAAACGCTTCTATATTAACGAATCTTGATTCACTACGAACTGGACTTGTCCGAGAGAAACAGGTCAGAAGTTGTCGACACGAGAACCGTTCGGGGCGATTCAGTCAGATCGAACGAAGCGATCAGACCAGTTTTTGAGATTCATTGCAAAGATCCGACTCAAACGAACGAGTCATTCACGAATCGGAACTACAGCACTAAGTATACACAACCCGTTTCCGCAACAAAGCGCTGAAATAAATAGAAGGGAATAAGGTAGTTTAGCACTGAGGTGAAAGAAGTTTCCAGTAAACAGAGTGCAAAAATATATATAGCTAAAGTTTATATTAATCCCATACAATTCAAAAACAAAGTTTGATTTATAAGAATCATTTGCAAACCTACCTGCGTGCACAGAGCAAGAACGAAGTGTGTGATCCATCCTTGAAATATCCAACTAGCAGAAAAATTCACTCTCATTATTCTAAACTTTAAAACAGGACTCTGTAATCTCAGCTTCAGTGCTGTTATATTGTCCAGTGAGTTCAGCAGCTGTGCGCTCTGGGATGAAGGGGTGAAGCTCCAAACTGCTGTAACGTTAGTTCATTCACTGAGAATATGTCCCATGATGTTCACTCACCCACGCCTCGACTGCAGCTCTCCCTGTGTTTCCACTGCACTAGTCATGTGGATTCTGCTCCGTTTTTTCACACGCTCCTCCCATTTCTCGTAATCAAAGTAGTCCACATATAAACGGGGTGATGTTCATATAACCAGACAATCACTGTCAGTCACTAGCGTTCAACTCTGTAGCAGTTTATTTCACCGCGCCACGTCCAGCACATGTATCGTGTTAGTTTGTGCTTATAGCCAAAGTGCAGTGAAGATACATTGTACTTTTAAGTTGTGAGGTACCGTTAAAACCCCATAAATCAAAAGTGAAGTCTGTTTGCTAGTGTACATGCAACAGAGCATAATGCAATGCACTTGATTTGCCCCTCAACTTTCTGTGTGGATGAACTTAAATAACATCTCTCTTGTCTTGACTCATAATTTGATTGGACTGCCAAATTAAAACTGAATTAAGAATAAACAAAAACTGTAATATACTACTGTTTAAAATGTTTATCGTTTTCTTAAAAAAAAAAAGAAGAAAAAAAGAGCAAGCATACAATTTGAACATACACTCTAAAAAATGCTGGGTTAAATACAACCCAGTGCTGGGTTAAATAGGGACAAACCCAGCAATTGGGCTGTTTTGACCCAGCGGTTTGGTTAAATGTTTAACCCAACCTTCTGGGTAGTAACCCAACCGCTGGGTCTAAACAACCCAATTGCTGGGTTTGTCCCTATTTTACCCAGCACTGGGTTGTATTTAACCCAGCATTTTTTAGAGTCTAGCCTCAATCATGGAAGCTTGTTTCCACCATGGGATAAAAAAAAAAGTAATTGCGACTCTTGAAAATATATAAATTCTGAGAAGAAAAGTCAGAATTAAACTCGCAACTGTGAGTAAAAACGTGAGAGGTCACAGCTAGGTAGCCTACCTTTTTTATTTTTTTTTATTCAGTGGCGGAAAAAAAAAGAATTGGCGATGTAAACTCTATTACATATAAGATGACTCATCCTGCACTACACAGATTTTCGTCCAATCAAATGCTAGGTTGTTAATGGTTGCTATGCAACCTGCTATCCTGGCACAACTCAAATTATATTTATTATGGTAGTCATAAATACACTGGTATGTAATGCAAATACAGTAGTTTACTGTTTCCTGTGTTTACTATGACAAACTCCATATTTTGTGCATTAAATATTTTGCAGGCCTATACATAATATCGCCTCATTTTTCCATTCGTTTCAGTAGGTAAAACTGAATTTCTCTAGTGAAATGCACATTAACCTCAACTTATAAGGAAACTGTGCTCTTTTTCAAATTGGTTTTCTGGTCCTGGACCTTACACGGTTTTCAGAAGAATAACATTAAATGAAAAAGAATGTTTCTTAATCAGATTAAAGTAATGGTCCACTAGTCTGTGGCCTCTCTGAACAGAAGGTCATTCTATGTAATGTTAAACTGTGAGTTGTTTGCCTGTAATTCTTATCTTGCTTAACTGTCAGCTCATAATTGCTCACTTGGCATCTGTCTAAGTGGGCAAATGGGGCAGATAGCGATGCTCTCGAGATGTTGGTGGGGGTGTTTGAAACATTGCCAGAACTTTTCACTAATTTACCATCCTCTTGCTTTCAAGCACAAAGCTGCCATGCTTTTCCTTTAAGCCACCGCTGCCTGCTTTGAATAACAGTCATCGGTAAAAGCTGATGGGCAAGTTTTGGCATCCATGCGCTCTCCTTCATGCTGCTACCGCACCACCCCACATGCAGATCAGGTGTACTCAATTCCTGGAGGCTTTTCTAAGCTGTTATGTCATGCAGATGTAGAGATGTCACAACAGACTGATTGTTCAAGCATAAAAAAAACAACAACACGCAACCAACCCAACCTAATGTTATGTTATGCTTTCATGATTAAAATTAATTGTGATATGTTTTGGGGAGGGGGGGGGGGTCGGACATGTATAGTGCAGCCACTCATGACTGTGTGAAGGTCAATAAGTCACATAAAATATCAGATAATTCAGTCTTTTTCATTGTCAAAATGCTAATTATGATATAAAAAAAATAATTTATTGAATGAAAAGTCATAATTATGACATACTAAATAATAATTGAGATTAATTAAATAATTAACTAACTAAGATTAACTAAATAATTGAGATAAAAAGTCAAAATATGACATACTAGGCCATAATCATGAAACAAAAAAGTTGAAATTATGACATAAAATGATCAAAAGTATGTGATAAAAAGACATAAACATGGCATAAAAAATTATGTAGCTAAAACTGAGTAAAGATAAGACATATTAAGCCAGAATCATGAGATAAAATGTCAAAATTATGAGATTAAAATCACAATAATTACTAATATTATTACAATAATTACAGTTAACTATAACAAGTATAATTATGACATTTTATCTCACAATTTCAAAATCAAAATAACTTATTCTCTCAATTTCAGCTGTCATAATTATGACTTTTCATAATTTCACCTTTTTGTCATAATTTTGACAGTTTATCTGTGTCAAATGTAAACTTTTTGTCACTTTTCATCTCATGATTATGGCTTAGTATGCCATATTTAGACTCATAGTTTTGGGTTTTATATGATGATGATTATGGCTATGGCATTTTGACTTTTTTTTAATCTCAAATATGATTTAGCATCGCCTAGTTTTGACTTATAATTATGAGTATTGTGTCATAATTTTGACTCTTTTCATTTATCCTCTCACCCGTAAAATGTTTTTGCTAACTTGAAAGTTTTTGGAGAGAGCTTTAGGCTTTTTAGTTCCTGTTTGTTGTCTTGTTATGCCCTCAGTCAACAGGAATAAAAACATGGAGAGGGAGAATGTTCCCGTGGTTTTATGCAGCCGCTCTCTCCTCTCTCCGGGTCTGGAAATGTTCCTGGCATCTGACTCACAGTCCTCTTCAACTCTTGCCCTGCGCTCATGAGTAACTTATCCCTGCTGGTGAAATTTCCACACACTACCATAGTGGATCAGCTCCAAATTATGCGCAGGTCACCTCGTGCTAAAGAAAATATTTTATACAAATATGAGCTCTCTTGTTTTTTTAAACCAGGAATTGCATGAAAGAAGAAATGTTACACTAGCGATGAAGGTAAACACAAAAGTTAAAGATTAAAATTAATATGCAAATTTTGTTCTAGTTCAGTCAATAAATCATCCAAAACAAAGGCTTCTGTAGGATCGTGCTGACCATGTGATCAAAGGGCCCTTGAACTTTGAAACCTTTTCTCCAAATGCAGAGGTAAAACAAGCCACATCTTTGATGTTCTCATGTTTTTTCGTTGGTTTTCAAGGCTAAGCGTTTATTGTAGTAACACCTGTCGAAGTATGGTAAAATATGCAGCACAATTCAGTTGCATTAAAGACCGTATATAGATAGTATATAAACTGATATGAACCTCGGAGCCAGATAGTATGAGGAACAAACAACGAGCTACTGATTTGCTTTATCCGAAGTCCTTAAATGCAGATTTATTATGACTAAACCAGATGTCTAAGAAAGCAAAAAAACATCTGAAAGGCAATCTTCGAGAGTTCAAGAGACGACACACCGAATCAGAAGTACATAAGTACACAAGTGGTCTTTGCTTTTTATTATCTTATGACACGAATCAAATATACATGATATTGGGTACTGTTCTCTCGATTCACTGTATTTTACAGTCATTTATTGTTGGAGCATATCCAAAATAAGAGAAGCAAAACCCCAGACAATTTTACACACTTATGTAGAAAATATTCTCCAGAGACACAGCAACGCATAAAAGACAGCAAGACGAGGAAGGAATCATTGTTTTGATTTCATAAAGTTCACATTGTCCAAAAAACTAACAAAAACAGGTGCAGTGGATGCAAATAAGCCTCTGAAATAAAATCATAATAAAAAAAAAGGAAAACATTGACACATGAGTGCAAATTTCTTTGGAAGCTGGAAAAAAATGTAAGACATAAATATGTTAAAAATATAGCCTATCAAATCAAAGACGAACAAAAGAAAGGCAGACGATTGACTTCAAGTAGGAGATCCCAGAAAGTGGAGGGTCGTGGGAAACACCCCAAGCAGCTTTCATTTCTTCCTCTGGAAAACATTCGCCAGCATGGCACCTGAGGTGGTCAGCTGGCCCATCTTACTTAGAAACTTGGTCTTTGCATCCTCACCCACCAGACTCGCTGCAATAGAGATGGACCTGAAAAGAGACAGAACAGCATTCATAGGTCAGAACATCCACCCGCCACTCAAGGGCAGTGTAAGCACCGGCTGCTGACAGGGCCGGACAGGCAAAGATGATACTGGCCACCCAACGCTTGAGTGTTACGTGCAGTTTTATGATAGAGTTTATATAAGTTCATTTTCATTCTGGAAATCCGTTTGTTTCAATTAACCGATTCTAATTCACTGAATCTCTTTCATTTCCACTCTCTGTGTGGCATTTGTCATACAGTAAAATATTTCAGTAAAAATAAAAGATGAATCACTATGCATTGTCATATGTCATTATGGTTCATTTAAATGCTACATTATTATTAATTATATTCTAAAAATTATTTCATAAATATTATGTATTAATATTATTAAAATAATATTTGTTTACATTCTAAAAATTAAAATTATAATGCTTTCTTGTATTTAGCGTAAAAAAGAAACACATTACTTGATTATTTTTTAAACTATATATATATATTATGAAATGCAATTGTGAAATATTATTACAATTTAACAAATATATTTAATTCAATTTATTCCTGTGATGGCAAAGCTGAATTTTCTTATTATTATCAAAGTTGAATGCAATTGAGCTGCTTAATATTTATTTATTTCTTTTTATTTTTTGTATATATCCGTTGTCACTTTATAGTTTCACTTTTTTTGGCAGATCGGTCGTGAATAAAACTTTGTAAGGTCACACGAAAAGAGAGATAACACATAGTTATGTGATGAATAGGATCATTTTAGAGTGAAGATTTCACCACCATTTCTGTTGAATGGTTAAAAACACCAGAAATTCAATAAATCACTTTGACCCGGTTTCACAGACGGAGCTTAGCTTAAGCCAGGACTAGGCCATAGTTCAATTAGGATTTTCAAGTAATTTTTATAAACATGCCTTAGAAAAAACATTACTGGTGTGCATCTTGAGACAAAACAAGGGCACTGACATATTTCAAGATCAATCAGTGCAAGTTTCTTTCAGTTGAAACAGCTCAGATTTACATTTTAGTCGGGGACTAGGCTTAAGCCTTGTCTGTGAAACCAGGGGGGTTATCTTTTAGAGATCGACCGATATATCAATTTACCGATATTTTCCCGATATTTAAGCATTTTACCATAATCGGATATCGGTTTTGTAATATCGGATTCCCCGATAAACGCCGCCATCTTGTGGGCGTTTTGAGAATTGCGCGCAGGATCGCCATTGCAGCGCGTCTGAGGGGAGACGAGACAACAACAACGGCGTGCAGGGACTTGATATAGTTGCTATAGTTAGTAAACTTTATTTAACATAACAGCCATTTATGCACAAATTAGATGCATTATATAAATGACTGATATGTAGATTATGCAGCTTGGCTCTAAGAAATAGAGACCAACTCACAGAGTCACGTAAGATAATCCGTCAAGTCCTGTCCCAATAAAGATGTAACCTTGCCTGAATTAAATAATATGCAGCCATGAATGAGCGCATGTTGGAAATAAAAGCGCTGAATTGAATTCTCTCTCTGTCTATGCTCATTGTTAGTCTCGTGAAGTCGGAGTCACGTAGATAATCCGTCAAGATCCTCTCCCAATAAAGACGATGACTGAAAAGTGGAAAAACCAAAGTGAAGTATGTTCTTACTTCACGCAGTCATTTATTTACTTTATAACAGTAAATAAATATAGGTTCTGCATATCGGTTATCGGGCACATAAACATGCAAATAATTGGTATCGTATCGGTTATAAAATATCAATATCGGTCAATCACTATATCTTTTGCATCTTTTTATAAAGTCTTGCTCTCTCAAACTGGTTCCCGCAAAACATTCATGGTTAAAATGTCACCCGCCCAACTAATTAAACATAAAAAAAGAATCCCAGCTAACCCGTGGTAGAACAACCCACACCATTTGTGAGAGGCAGACTCGACTGATGTATCATGACTTGTAGTGACAGTCACAATGATAGACTTCACTGCAGTTATAAAGTTCAAACATTTATAAATATCTCACAGAGGCATGAAACAAAACCACTGGAAGCGTTGCTACGATACCAACTGTGAAATTTAAAAGACAAGTGCTGTTTATAATCAAGCCACATCATACAGATTAAAGATTTTAGAGAGTGCCACACGAGTTTGCAAGCCGGGTACGTTTAGTTTTGGAAACCCTCATTTAGAGAGAGTCCTTAGCCAGCGAAAATCTGACTGTACATACCCTCTCTCTCACTTCTTCAAGTCATTAAACTCTTGAAAATGGCAAACTTCAGCAAATAAAAATCCATTTAGTGCATATTATACTACCTTTTATATAAGAAAAAAACACTCCGCACCAAATTTGGAGTAGAGCTATTACATAAATGTGACTTAAGTCGCTTGGGTATATTTTTAGCAATAGCCAAAAAAATATTGTATGGGTCAAAATTATTGATTTTTCTTTTATGCCAAAAATCATTAGGATATTAAGTAAAGATCATGTTCCAAGAAGATATTTTGTAAATTTCCTACCTTAAATATATCAAAACTTATTTTTTGATTAGTAATATGCATTGCTAAGAACTTCATTTGGACAACTTTGAAAGCAATTTTCTCAATATTTAGATTTTTTTGCACCCTCAGATTCCAGATTTTCAAATAGTTGTATCTCGGCCAAATATTGTCCTATCCTAACAAGTCCTTTTGTCCTATCTTCAATATCAAAAAATGGACCCTTATGACTGGTTTTGTGGTCCAGGGTCACAAATAACAGTGTATGATTCCATGTAGCTTTACACAGCTGCTACAAGTCTAATATGAAGCAGCATTACCATTGGCCTACAGGCACAGCCCAAATGGAGTGGGTTTGCAATAATCATGTGGCTAAACCAGTGCCCTGCAATGCCTGATGGGAACTCTCCTAGCAGTGGAGAGACTGAGTCAAACCCAAGCTGAACTCAAACAGATAAATTGAGGAAATTAGCATGCGAAAAGCCTTCCTGAGTGCTGTAGTGCTTGAGAACTCCTGTGAAATTATTTATTTTTACTCTGCTACTGAATGAGCACTTATTCACTTGTTTTTTTTTTCAGTACAGGAGAAGCAGACACTGTATTCATTAGATTTTCCTCTTGCATGTAGTGATTTGAGGCTCCATTTGCAGTAAACACAAAACCCGGTGACTATGAATAAAATGAAAGAGTGTCTTCTCACCCTTGTGCCTCTCCAATGCCTTTGTTCTCCATCTTTATTTCACACTCCTTTATCATGGAACTCAGAATAACCTAAAGGACAAACGGGAAAAGGAGGGAGTATTCTTAGAGCACTGCTGGGAAGTCTGATATAAACGCAGACACACGCACATCAGCTGGACATTACTAGGCAAAGGAAATTAAATACATAGAAATTGGGTTATATGACATGCAGCATGATAAAACTTTAAGACGACAAGAGACCAGGCTTAGGAAAAGGATATAATGTTATGCATCTGTATTTAATTAACGATTATGGGTGGTTGTTGTAATTATGTCATACAGACATGAAAAACATTTTTTTTTTAATTTAATACCTCATGCTCCGGAGAGAGCTGCTCCATATCAGTCCTCAAACATCTCAGACCAGGGAGGAAATGATTTACCATGAGTTCTTCAGAAATAACTAAAGCCCCAGAGTTAAGAAAAGACTATGTCAAACATACCTGTGAAATATACACGTCTAGCCATAAACACACACACACACACACTATGTGAAATAATATATACTATGACTTTAAAATAATATATAATATGACTTTAAAAATAAAACCCAAAATGGCAACAAATTAAATTTCAGTCATTGATACACAACAGCGCATAAATACTAAAACTCTAAAATAAAAATGTAATACATTGAAACTATATAACAGAAAAAGTCAACAACAAAAAAATGAAAATAAAATAAAAACTAAATGTAAAACTATAATCAACCTATAATTAGTGTTGTTAATCTGTGACAGTTTCATTAAATTTAAATGACAAAACACTGGAAAACAACAACAACAAAAAAGACTGAAAATAAAATAAAATAAAAACGAATTTAAAATTGAATACCATAATAAACCTACAATTATGACTGTGGATCTATAAATGTTTCATTAAATAAATTGAAACTAAAACACTGAAAAACAAAGCTACAACAAAACTATTAGTCACTGAGTGAAAACAAAAAAGACTGAAAAAAAAAGTAATTCAAAATTTAAAAGTATATTAAACCTACAGTTATGGCTGTTAATCTTCAATTAAATTAATTACATGATGTATCAATTATTACATGATACACCATGATATTACATGATATACCAATTAATTAATTAATTATTTTAAAATAAATGATCATTAAACCACATATACCAATATTTGCTGAAAATACATTCATAATACAGCAAACTATAAAATTTTTACTAAATGAACACATGAGCTCTGCTCACAATTAATCTGAAAATATAAACAATAATTCAAAATATGTATGAATTTTGATTTTCAAGAATAACTGGTAATTCAGCTGAATCTACCAAAAACCGCAAATGAATTAAACATCAAACACAGTCTTAACATGAGTTATTGGTATCTGCTGAAAGCTTGATGATCGTGCACCCCTAAAAGAGACCAAACCGAAACCATGACCACCGCAAAACTTGATATGAACCGTGAGAAATTTGCACAGTTAAACCTCTATCGCCTTCCCTAATGACTTGCACTTTTACAGTAAATACACACCAGTATACAGTCCACCGATCCAGACTAAACCTCATATCTATCATGCTGCATGCAAAACCTCAAAACATAGACAGGACGAGGTTTCACAAAACTGCCTGGGGGGCAAGCCACTGCTACAGGGGGGTCTCAACTGTGACACAGCGGACAAAAATAAAATGAAACGGATAAAGATGGGGGGAGAACAAGACAAAAGAGCATCTGCAAAGGCATGTGTGCTGGGAATCCTGACCAAAGGGCTGGGCTAGGCTCTCTTCACTCAAACGAACAACATCACAGAGCGTTTAACGACAAATTCTGCCATCCACCCTGCAATTTAGTGTACAAAAATGGCTGAGGTTTATTTTCTTTCTTTCACTGCCAGTGGGATTATGCAAACATTTTCGCAACGATGAAGCACTCAGGAAAAAAAGGTGGAAAAAAAAAAAAAAAAGAGAGTGAGAATGCAAATCCAGCTTTGGAGACTCCTGTCCAGCTAAAATAGTTGACCATCGCTCAAAAATTCAAAAAGCACAGAGAGAAAGTGGCCACACAGACTGTGTTCAGTATCTGTTTTTAAGTTGAAATTGGAGGTAAAACTGTGGTTATACTGTGCAAGCTGCCATACGCCACAAAATCAGTAGAGAAACCGGTGAAAGATGGCTTCTGCTCCCAAACATCAGCAGTGGAGGTGTACAGTCCAATTCCGCAGCCTATCTGTTTTCAATTTGTAATCAAAATGTTCCCTCTCAGAGAAAAATCAACTTCTGGAAATTTTGGAAATGCAAAGCGCTGGGCTTTACCGAGGCTTACAAAAACAATAAAAACACTTGAACATGCAGCATTTCTCTTCACAAGACATTAATTGATGGAATGAAGTTGTGTGGATTACTTGTGAATTCTTTTAATGTTTTTATCAGCTGTTTGGACTCTCATTCTGACGGCACCCATTCACTACAGAGGATCCATTGGCGAGTAATGCTATATTTCTTCAAATCTGTTCCCAACTAAACTTCGTCTATACCTTATCTACAGCTTGGATGGTCTGAGGGCGAGTACAAATGTTCATTTTTGGGTGAACTATTCCTAACATAATAGTCAAAACCATGCTATGTGAGGCAAGATGAAAGGTGATTAACAGTAAAAAGTGGTTCTAAACAGGCAAAATTGTAAGTCAAACGTCTCTCTTATGTGACTATAAAAGATACAACAGCAGGATAAGGCGCTGTATGCCTCAAACAGTTGAGTGGCAATGTCAATTCTTTTACTCTCCACCGTTTGCTGGTTGTTGCACAGAGCCAGTTTGTGCAAATGAGGAAGAACAACTGTGGAAAAAAACAGAGAGAGAACAGGACATGAAAGACAGAAAATACATCTGCCGCACTAATGTACGTGCACTAAAGGGCAAACAGAGTCACAGAAGCATGACGGTACTGTTATCATCACATTACAACACGCTATGGTGTTTTTGTCTGTGCAAATAGTGAGAAACTTTGCATAAGCAAGTAAACATATAGTGATGACACTCACATTCATCTCTGAAGCGGGGCTCTGCGTTGGGTCCTACTCTTCCAAATGTTTTGATGATTTCCATGTGCAAAGAATGCTGGTCCTGATACTGGGGGTCTTCCAGAAAAGAGGCCAGCTGCATTTTCACTCTCTCTAGCAGCTAATAAACATACACATGACATAAAAACAAATAAGAGCTTCTCTATACAGTTTGCAAACCTTAGTCACAATTTATATTTAGAAGAGTTTCTTTATTCAATTTGAAAGCTATATTTATTTGATATATATATATATATATATATATACAAATTAGAGCCGTCATCGTTAACGCATGCAATTAAGTTTAAAATCCTTAACGCGTTAAAATAATTTAACGCAATTAACGCAAAATTACTGAAGCACAATTTCTATTCTAATTTTGCTTCTCTGCTTGCGATTAGATCATTTTTTAAGCTGCTAAACTCCGGGAAAGTTTTCAGTCCAATGATCCAGTAAGCGAATGCATTCAAACAATCCGTCCAAAACAGCGCTAATATAAAGGAAACCAGGCTGATTACATCAGAGATTGCAGAGAGAACAGAGACTCGCGTTGCGTTTTCAGTGAATTATTCATTCCAGTGTGTTTGGCTTTAAAACACAACCGCTGTCACATTCTGTGATTGTCTCTGAAGAGCGCGAGCCCTCACGTCACGTGCTTGTAAGTGATGGGAAGTCCGGTTCTTTCGGACAATTCGTTTCAATGAACCGGTTAAAAAAAAACGGTTCATCGGTTCTTTTACGCCCTAACGTAATGACGTCATTCGCGATGACGTAATGATATCAAGTCTATCGTCCCGGGCCGGGATGAAAATACACATTCAAATATATAAAGTCAGTAATCATAACTTCAGTCAGTTAAAACATCATAATCATGATCTGAAAAGTTTACAATTAAGTTTTGATGTGCATACCAGGATTTAAGTCTTGAAGATATAAAGTAAATAAATTAGTAGTCATCAGCGCAGAAACCATAATCCACTTACTATACATAATCCATTGCGATTTATTTGTTATTAAATAAATTTACGTTTCGCTAGATTGCCCTTCATTCAAGTCTTCGGTTAGCACAGAATCAGTTGTCCAAAAGAACCAGTTCGGTTCAGACTAGGCTTGCCACGATAAGACGGTGTTGACGGTGATACCGGTGTTTAGCCGCAACACCGGTTACGTCACTTGCCCACCGCGTCACCGACCCACACCGTCGTTTCGATTTTTTATAGTAATAAAAATCATTTAATTCAGTAAAAGAACAGACACTACAATTAAAAACTGAACGTGGCTGCTCAATGCACGACAGTAGCATCACACAGATCAGATTTCAGTCAAGCTGACTGACAAGAAGAGAGGGGTGAGACAGACAAGACGATCGCGGACGATTTAGTTTCGAAACGAAATGCAAAAGCGCCTGTTTGGCAATATTTTGGATTTTGATACCTATTTAAACTATGTAAGTTATTTGTTATTTTATATTAGGCATAACTTGCCCTATAGCATGGTGTATTTTTATTTGTTTTGTTAATAAAAGTTCTATGTTTCATATATAGGCTAAAGTGAGTTTGACGTTGTATTTTGTTGTTGCTTTCAAGCAATTGACGCTGAACTGCAGCTAATTCAAAAGTGAAAGTCAAAAGTTATTTAAAAGCGAAGGAAAGCGAGGAAAAGAGGGAAAATTTAAACGAGCTAAAAACTTGCTTTAAATTGCTTTACTCCGAATTGCCGCTATTTGAAAGTGAAAGTAAAATGCGCACACCGCTTTTACAAGCTATTTAAATGCGAAGGAAAGCAAGGAAAATAGAGGGAACGCCCCCACGGTGATATCGGTATTACCGGTGTTGTCACATGTCGATTAACCGGTGGGAAAATTTCCTCACCGTCACAACCCTAGTTCAGACGTGCGGTGTCAGTCATAGTAGGCAATCTGTTCGGTAGCTTCACCCTGAATCACGCATGCGCAGTATCATCAGCTCATCGGTTCTCAAATCGGACGCGTCCGAAAGAAACGGTTCTCGGTTCAGTGTACTGGTGATCCAAAAACCGATGCAACCGGTTCTTGACTCGAAACGAGAACCGCTCCAGCAGTGGGCGTGTACGTTCATTACTCTGCATGCTGCACACATGCTGCTCTGCTCGTGTTCATCTTGAGTTCTCTCTTCACAGCAGTTCAGTCACTGTTTTTTACTGTTTGACTGAGTAAATTAATTACTCCGGGATATTGGTTTATTTAGACTGAGAGGGAGTGTCAGCCACGTTAAAAAAAAGTGAATAACTTAAGTAATTTGTGGATTAGTGCATACCGGAGACGCGAACCGTTTCAAACGATTCAGTCCGATTTGGTGAACTGGTTCAAACGGTTCACTAAGAAGAACCGGTTAAAGCGAACGAGCGCAGCAACCGCAATTTTTGCGTGTTTTCTTTTTTTGTAAGGTTATTCCCTTCTCGTTTTACACTTCATGCATGTGGACTGAAAATTAAACAAGTTAGTAATGATAACATAATGTGTACCATGCTGATTTGTACAGAGGCTCCGTAGATTTGCACTTAACAAGCCTAAACAGACCGTGAATGACAGTCCCTATATATGTATATGTATGGCGATAATACCGCCTACAGCGCTACTGAGCCACGCAAAATTATCGCAAGGGAAATTCCCTCACCACTATAGCCCTGATATATGCAGTCAGCAGGTTTAGTTTTTTTTTTTGGCATCTCCATGTGGTCCTGTTCGGTATCGCAACTTGTCTTCTCTAAAATGTAAAAAACCGCTTTGGTGTTGCACTGTACACATACTATAAAATTCAGATTTTTTTTTCTTTCATATGTGCTTTACTTTGCTGGATATAGCAAATGATGACAAAATAAACATTTGAAACAAAATAAATATATGTATGGCGATAATACCGCCTACAGCGCTACTGAGCCACGCAAAATTATCGCAAGGGAAATTCCCTCACCACTATAGCCCTGATATATGCAGTCAGCAGGTTTAGTTTTTTTTTTGGCATCTCCATGTGGTCCTGTTCGGTATCGCAACTTGTCTTCTCTAAAATGTAAAAAACCGCTTTGGTGTTGCACTGTACACATACTATAAAATTCAGATTTTTTTTTCTTTCATATGTGCTTTACTTTGCTGGATATAGCAAATGATGACAAAATAAACATTTGAAACAAAATAAATGGTCTATGCTTAATTTCATGAAGTGTGCGATTAATCGCGATTAATCACCGAAAAAGGATGTGATTAATCAGATTAAACATTTTCGATTCGACTGACAGCCCTAATACAAATATACATACACACATATATACATATCTATCTAATTTAAATTTTTTCCCCTCTCGATATTTTTCTTAAAAGCCCAGAACTGTGTTGGGATATATATATACACAAATATATGTGGATTGTGTAAGGTATCAGTAATACGGAAGACATGTACCTCTTTTTGCGTTACGGTTTCCATAATTGTTCCAAAGGCAGGTATTGTTGATATCCTCACTGAGCTGAAAACAGAAAATCCGTCACTACACATCCAAAAGAAACCATACATTTCTCCACTAAAATGATAAAAAAATGCATGAATGGAACGGAACCATGAGATGCCAATCACTTGATGGAATATGTGGTAAGCAAGATGATTAATGCCACATGATCATTCCCATGTCAGTATGAAAACCAAAACAGAAACGGTCAACAAATATCCAAATACACACCCCCCTTAAGAAAATACAAAATAAAAAATACAAAATATCCAACCAAGTGAATGCGAAGAGGAGACAGGATATTTGGTTTTTAAAGTGTCTCATAGCTGCGGTTAACTCACAATTCAGGACCACTGCACAAGGTAATAAGGGCTGGAGCTACTCGCTTGTCAATTAAGGCTTCGCTCATGCCTCGAAGAACCAGCTGCAAACCAGTCAGATGCAAAAGAGAGACGGGGGGGTCAAACACAAATGGCCAAGAATCTAGCAGGGAAGGAGGGTGGTAGAGGAGACTGTAGTGCTATAGGGGACTTTGGGGAAAGAGTGACTGGCAGCCAAACATGCCATGGGCCACATGAATGGACAGATGAGTTGACTGAGGGGATGAATGGATTGTGAAAAGCAGGTAGCTTTTCCAAGCGTGCGGCGATTAGTGTAGCCTGAACGAAGAATGTTAGTACATCGAGCACATGAGACAAACAAAATAAGCACTGTCTCTCAAGCCTTGGTTTCATCAGGAGAGCCAGATACACTTCCACACTGACATAACATCAGCATGAATTACAAATGATGGTTAACAATGGTATATTTCAATAATAAATTTGTATATATGGGGCATATTTCAACCTCAAAATAGAATAAAAATAAAGAATATATTTAATAATATTTATAATAATAAAAGACTATTTAAGGTTTATTTATAGTATGACATTATTTTTGCAGCAATTAAGCACATTTAACTCTCTGTTGGTTAGTAGCTTATTATAATGCAAATAAATTCTTGTACTGAGAAAAATACATACAAAATGATATATAAATAATGCCTGGGCCATATTCCAGACTCAAAATAAAATAAATTTAGCAATTTTCATAGCAATTAAGCACAGTTAACCCTCCGGATGTCAGAAGCCTATTATAATGCAAAAAAATATATAAATAAATAAATAATTATTACAAATAAAATTCAATAAATAAATACATTTATATATTACAAGTATACATCATGGTAGTATTAGTTATAAATTGTATTTTTGTTGTAAAAAAAAGAAGAAAAAAGAAAGAAAAACCAGGTCCAAACAAGTTTGCTTTCATTACTGTATTACAGTAATTAGAGATTTTTTTCCACATTATGGATGAAAATGATAAAATCATAATGCAAAACTTATTCATGATCCTCAATTTTTATATATTTTTTTAAGGTGAAATGTGACCTAGACATTTAATTGTTTCGATTGTTTAAATAAAACTGCAATATTTTTGATATGACATTAATTTCTTTCAACATAAAGCGAAACCCTTAAATCTGGGCTCTGCCTATCTCTTGGCTCAGGTAGGCGGTGCTTGCTTGAGGAGGGGCTAATAAAGTTGTGGCCTCCGGAGAGAACCAAGGCGGAGGGAGGTGCATGGATGAAGGAGGCAGGAGACGACTTACATTTCAGGATCACTGGAGAGAGTGATAAGTGCTGGAACAACTCTCTGAGCTACTAGAGTTTCATTCACCCCCTTCACCAACAGCTGATTGGTCAGAGCAGGGGTGATGTCACATAGGATGCATGGAAAGAGCAAGCACAGTGTCATGGAACACCGCAGAGAGAAAGAGAGAGAGAAACAAAAGAACACAAAAAAGGTAACAAACTAAAAAAAAAAACAGCTCCTGAGAGAACCAAGGCAGAGGGAGGTGCATGGATGAAGGAGGCAGGAGGAGACTTACATTTCAGGATCACTGGAGAGAGTGATAAGTGCTGGAACAACTCTCTGAGCTACTAGAGTTTCATTCACCCCCTTCACCAACAGCTGATTGGTCAGAGCAGGGGTGATGTCACACAGGATGCATGGAAAGAGCAAGCACAGTGTCATGGAACACCGCGGAGAGAAAGAGAGAGAGAAACAAAAGAACACAAAAAAGGTAACAAACTAAAAAAAAAAACAGAGTAGACATACAATGAAAAACACGACAGAAGCCTGAGGCGGCACTACACAGATAAATTAAATCAAATTAAGGACTAAAGAGGCCAGGCAAATTTAACTAAAGCTACGACCACAGATGAGGAGAAGGGGTTTCTCACATGGAGTTTCTTAACACTCCTTGAACCTTCATTACGGACTTACAACGGTGTGGGGGGATGAAATGTGGGGGTTTGTTACGTCATTTCTGAATGGCAATAGCAAGCGTGCTGTGGTGCAAAAGACGTACGGATGCTTTAAAGCTGCAACGACTTGTAAACATTCAGTATTTGACAGGTAACAGGGATGACAAGACACAAGGGGGCCCTAGAGGGAGTGTGGATGGGTCTGAAAATACATATTTACCACCTCACACCAACCATTAACATTTCTAAACCATCATATTACAGCTAATTTGCATTAGAAACAATGCATTAGGTAATAAAAATAATCATTTGACTGGCCTGGAGGATGATAAATGTCTTTAAACATAAATTTAAGGACATTGGATGTATTTATTAACTAAAATAAACTAAAATAACTATGCATGTCAATGTCTGAAGTGTGAATTGGAGGAAGGGCTCACCTCGAACATGCGTGCAGCGGTGCAGCGTACCAGTGCAGATGTATGAACCACTCCATACCAAAGCACCGTCAGTAGAAGCTCATGATATGCTGGGTTTGCCCTGGAGACAGGAAGTAACGGATTTAGTGGGTAATCACAAAATAACAGGCGATGATCCTACTAAACCTGATCTTCTAGTCAGTTAGACTGCCATTAGCATGAAACGTCTGGTGCATTAGATCATCAGGATACGGGAGTCGAACAAATTGGGACATGTTATTTTTGTTGTAAACTGCTTAAACCATTATTGTCGGTTTATGCAGGGCTCAACTTGAAAGATGGCCTACTGGCCTCGGACCGATATGTAAGTGTTTATGTCTTGCAAATGTAAACATTTGGTTTTATGTGATTTTCGGTTTAGAATTCTGATTGTCAACCTTTTAAACGTCATTATTACATTAAAAACTTTAATATTAACTTTATATGAACTTAAATATTTAATATTAGGCAGAATTATATAACTGGGTAATAAAGACGAAACTGTCGAATTTGAAAAGATTACTAGCGATCAATAAGAAAAAAAAAAATCACAAACCAATTTGTAATGTTTTGCAGTAAATCAGTTTAATTTATTGCTCTTGAAAGTTTCTTAAATAACTGTACAAATTTCCAGCTATTATTGCAAATTTTATTTGTAATAATTTTTAAAATCATTTAAAAATAGTGAATCATAAAATACAAAAATTACAATTCAAAATAATTTGAAAATCTGTGTAAAAATGGTCTAATAATATATATATAAAAAAAAAACTTAACAACGAAATCATAAAATACAATTATAAATGTTAAATTAATATAAAATGCGTAAAAAGGTGTATAATTATATATATATATATTTTAAAATGTTAAACTATGAAACCATAAATAAAATAAAACATACATATTTATAATTTTATAAATATTAAAAAAGTTTAAAAACTGTGAAACATTCAATTAAAATGCTACATGTAAAGTTATTATTTTTATTATAAATATAAAGTTATACATTTACAGTAATAAACAAATCTTGCCCTGCAAAGTATCTCTGAGATCAGTTGCACTTTTTAGACAGCCCCTGGTTACAGTTAAACATCTGCTTTTGTGTTCCAATAAAATAAAATCATCTGGGATTGGAATAGCATGAGGGCGAGTAAACGACAATTTTAACTTTTGTGTGAACTACTCCTTTCAAATGGATGAATTAATAAAGCTTTAATGCACAGAAACTGCCAGGCACTCTCAACGGCGGGGTCATGACACTCGTGAGCAAGTCATTTTACATCAGCTTAAAGGAATTGCAGCCTCAGATGAGCTCATGCAGAAATGCATCCTGACTGCAGATTTAACAGTGCTGACGACACTCACCCAAGCTCTACAAATGAAGCCTTTAGACTGTCAAGGGGAGCATGGGAGAGAGACAGCGTGGTCATGACATCCTCAAGAAAGCCAATCAAGAGTTTACGGTCCTCCTCCTGAAACGAACAACTTCATCAGAGAGAGGCTTTCCTGAATTAAGACATCACACAGCACGCGTACAATGATGCTCCTACCTGATTGTAGCACGTCAGGACTCCGGTTGCATAGATCGGCACCGTAGCCTTTGTAAGGATGTCGTTTCCTGCGGAGGCGTCTGCAGGACACAATCCTTGTTACAATCTCTAAACTTATATAACTGAACACTCAGTTAAGTCGCACATAAAATAATTAGTTGAACTCATTTGGAACTACTTTGGCAGATACTTTAACCACAGGCTTTTTTTTTCTTTTTTTTTTTTTTTAACTCAATAGACATTCAAAGAATGAAAGAAAAAGCTCCATTTCCAAATCCCATGAAGAGTGAAAACACATATTTGACACACAAGTCTCCAGCATGGGAAAGAGATATAGAGACGAAGTGTGTGTGTGTGCTCTGTTCCCAGCACCTCGGGAGTATTATTCTTGGTTAAATGAACAATCACTCACCCACATTCTCCTCAGATAGCCGCAGGATTTCTTGAAATTGAGGTTTTACCTTCAAAAATGAGGGGAAAAGAACACCTAAATTAAACTGAAACTGCTGAACGGAGTACTATTTGCAGCACAAGCTGTATTTAGCTACTTCATTTGGCCAAATAAAGAAAAAGAATACAGAAAAAAAGGTGCTACAGAGAGAGAGAGATTACTGTATGGCGAATGTCTTTGACCTGTTCTACCTTAGTGTTGGTAAAGATTTTCCCAAACGTTCGACATAATCTCCAGAAGAACCTGGAGAACTCATGCACACAGGTGGATGAGGCGACGTTGATGCGTCCTACAATATCTATAAGCTGTGGTAAACTGTGGAGAAAAAAACAGAATCAGGTCCAGTGCAAATGTAGGTAAACTAAGCCTTGTACATGCAACATATGAGAAGTATAGAAAGAATACAAGCACTAAAAGGATTTCAAACACATTGTACCTTAAATTGTGTCCAACTGCACCATTGTACCCTTTGTTTTACAGCCAAAAATACTCATAATTTAGTTTTAAATGACTTTCTGAATTAACAATGCTGCTCATACCTTTAAGACAATGATATGTAAATTACCTTTGTTATGACTGGCTAATACTAGTAATACAAAAAGGAAAAAAAGAAAGAGAAAATTTATATATAAAGTAAAATATAAAAAAAAATTAATCTAAATACACACGTGTGTGTATATACTGTATATAATACATATGTGTATTTTATATATAGATCAAAAGCAGAGAACAATCTACAATTTCCTAAATTTCAAGGTCACTGATTAGCCCTATTTGAAGTTATCCTGACAGGAGTAGAAGGGCTGTTTTTTTAAGCATATTTCATAAATGAATTGTATTATGAAGAATTGTATCTGAAATAGAACTCTGATCAAAATTAGAGAACACTTACCAAGTTATTGGTGTTAATCTGGTGCCAGGTGCTAATTTCCTTAATTATGTGACAAAACCTATTTAACTGGCAGCATTCCTCTAATTTTCACTGAGATTGCAAGATGGCGGGCCGCTCTAAGATGACTGAAACCCTGCAACAGCAGGTTGTCCAAATGAAGGCCAAAGGGATGACTCTTTCAGGCAATGCAAGAGAAGCTGGTCATTCCAAATCTGTGATTTCTAGAAAATTGCAGCTTTATAATGACACTCATTCATTCAAATCCCCCCAAAAGCCTGGTCGTCCACTCAAGACAAATGCACCAGAGGACAGGATAATGCGGAGACTCTCAATGGGGAATCGGTTCAGCACTGCAGCTGGAATTGCTCGCCAGTTCAGTGCTGAACAGGGTAAGGATCTGTCTCGGCACATTTAAGAGAAGTCGGACTGAAAACGCACTCTGCAGTGACCAAGTCTTCCATTAGTAGAGAGAATCAAAGTTCACTTTAGCGATGAGAGCAAGCTTAATTTAGTTGGGTCTGATGGGAAAAATTTAGTTTGAAGATTAACAATATTTCAGGAAAAAATCAAGTATCCACCTCTGAATGGCTCAAGAAAAACTAAATTAAGGTTTTGGAGTGGCCAAATCAAAGTCCGGACTTAAATTCGATTGAGATGCTTAAACAGTCCATTCATGCTCGAAAACCCTCCAATGTGGCTGAATTAAAACAATTCTGCAAAGAAGAGTGGGCCAACATTCCTCCACAGCGATGTGAAAGACTCATTGCCAGTTATCGCAAACGCTTGATTGCAGTTGTTGCTTGACGTAACTCGGGGGAGAAGAATTGTTAAATAAATTGTTATTTTTGTTTTCTTTGCGCTCAAAAAGTATTCTCGTAGCGTCGCAAAACTGAAGTTGAGCCACTGATGTCACATGAACTGTTTTACCGATGTCCTTACTACATTTCTGGACCTGGGGACATTACAGTTGCGTTGCGGTCTATGCAGGGTCTGAGAGCTCTCACATTTCATCAAAAATATCTTAATTCGTGAAGATGAACGAAGGTCTTACGGGTTTGGAACGATATGAGGGTGAGTAATTAATGACATAATTTACATTTTTGGGTGAATTAACCCTTTAATGTGCTCTTTGTTATGATGTCATCTGACACTTTCTGACCCTTAATTTTCCCTTTTTATAAATAATCTGGGTGGGATGAAGATATTCCTTTTTATGAACACATATGCATGCCATTTAACGCTCTAGGTGTGGCCTGGTGCTCCAACATGAGTGGGTGACCCAAGTTCCTGTCTCCACCTTCAATAAAAATGGCAAAAGAGGCCAAAAGGGGGAAGAGTGTGAGTGAGACATCAACTTACAACTGGTTGACCACCCAGAGCAAACTGTCCCATCCTGTAGTTCCTTCATGCTGGAGCTGATGATCATATAACTGCAGCAGAACTGCCAACTGCTCTCGGCTGCCCACAATGGTGGCCACGTCCTGCAACGGGGAGACTGGCCGCGGGAATCGGGTCACTGCAAGGTCACATTCACACACACACACACACACACACAAGAGCAGATTTTAAAACCATGAATACACCAAAAAAGTATAACTGCGCAAATCATCTGACGTGGCCGCAGCACGTAAATGAAAGAGCACTTTGATAGTGAGCCCAAAACCAGAGAGCAACCTCAACATGGCAGGAACCCTACAGTTACACTGAGTCAGGCGCCAGGTCTGCGTCGCTAAACGTGGCCTGACTGAGAATGTTAGCGAAAAACGCGTGCGTGCACATGTTGATGTTGGCTATCCCTCACCCTCGATTGGAGGCACGTCGCCCTGTAGTTTGGCTCGGCTGGTGAAGGGGGCGTTCTGAAGCAGCACCGCAAACAGAGACGGGATGAGGGACTGAAGTGCTGACAGATACATATGCAGCTTGTGTTCATCTAGACCATATTCACCCTGCTGGAGAAAGAGAAAGAGAGAGAGGGATTTAGGAGTTAAATAACTGAATGGAGCTAAAAGAGCGTGCCTGTAGTGTTGCAGATTTTTTGCTAAGTTACATTGTCAAAATGTCTCTAAATATCCTGAGAAGAATGGCAAAACTTGGTAAAATACTTAAAGATTTCACTCTTAAGAGATAATTCTAGAAAGATTATCTGATTCTAACATTCTATAGATTCAAGATTCCATTCTATAGATTCAAATGTACAACATTTAATAGTTTGGTGTTAAGATTCTTTTTATGTTTTTGAAATAAGTCTCTTATGTTCACAGAGGCTGCATTTATTAGGTCAAAAATACAGTAAAACCAATAATATTGTGAAATATTATTTCAATATAAAATAACTGCTTTCTATTTGAATATATTTTAACATGTCATTTATTCCTGTGATGCAAAGCTGAATTTTAAGCGTTAAAAAGCGCCATTACTGCGGTCTTCAGTGTCACATGATCCTTCAGAAATAATTCTATTTGGTGCTCAAGAAATATTTCTTCTTATTATCAAAATGTGAAAACAGTTGTGCTGCTCTGATATAATATAAATACATTAAAAAATATTATTTGGAATAGAAACTATTTTTCTTTACTTTCACTTTTTGATCAATTTTATGTCCTTGCTGAACAACATTTTTCACTTCTTAAAAAAAAGAACATTTTTATTCTAAATAAATATGCAATTCAGAAAAGATGAAAGACTTCATTCTCAAGATACAAATATAACATATTTGAAAATTAGATTCCAAATATTCAATGTTCCATATTTTCAAAATGTTCACGTAATTCTATTCTAAATAGATTGAAAGATTCCATTCTAAATATTAAATTCTGAAAACAAGACTCAAAAGATTCTATTTTAAAGATAATATAAAGGATTTGATTGAGACTTAATATTCATTTAAAAAAAAGATTAAATTCAAAAAGCTTTCATGGTTTCAAGCTAAAAATTAACTTCTAAAATGATTCTAAGGTATTATTCCAAATATTAAAGTTCCATTCTAAATATTCAATCCAGAAAAGATTGAAATATTCTATTCAAAAATAAATTTTTATAGTTTAAAAACGTGCCAGATGAAGTCTAAACATGCAAAACCAAAAGAAAATGTGGAACGAGGGTCCTCACAAGGTCGTAAGTTTGTGTGTGTACGTGCTGGTTTTCACCTTGAGCAGCTTCTCGATGCGTGTGAGGAGCGAGGGGATGAGCTGGGACTGTAAGTTGCCCAGTTCTGTGCACCAGGCAGCGAAGGCTGGAATGAACACTTGGTGGGTGGCACTGACCACCCTCTCTGATGGGTCACCCAGAGACAACAGCATCAGCTCAAAGCCCTGTTACATAACCATATACAAAATAAAGCAGACATACACTAGTAAAATAAGTATAAAAAGTGTAAAAACACTGGATTGCGCTTGAGCGGCAAAACATGCACACACCTGGGAGTATTTGTCTGGGTCGTCAATGTAGCCCATTATAATGCCTAAACTTTTCACCACTGCCTCTCGAACCATATCAGCTTTATCTTCTGCCAACATTTGCTGGAGCATGGACAGAACCAGAGAGCTTCGAATCTCCTTCTGCAGACACACACATATACTTGTATTTCCATGCCAGCTCTGAATTGCATACACAACATCTTATTTTGTATTCTGCTGTGTTTAGGTTAAATGATTAAGTGTTCATTCTCATGAGGAAGTGAGTAAACATCAGACTCTCCATTACAGACTAGAGCATACAAAGGCAAAAAAGGCACACCACCAACAATCAGAGCTCCGTTTGAGCCAAATCAGTTCAGATGTATGTGGGCCAGTGTTTCATAGCATTAATAAATGAGCAGCCCGCTGAGCCTCTGATAACTCTATGATATACAGCCACTGTAAACTCCAGTTACTCCAGTCTTCAGTGTCACATGATCCTTCAGAGATAATTCTAATATGCCGATTTGGTGCTCAAGAAACACTTCTTATTACCAATGTTGAAAAACAGTATTTTTGTGGAAACTGCAACGTTTTTTTTTTTTTAAGAATTCTTTGATGAATAGAAAGGTCAAAATAACAGCATTTATTTGAAATAGAAACTATTTGACTTTACGGTCACATTTTGTTTTTAGCAATTGAATGTGTCTTTGCTGAATAATATTAATTTCTTAAAAAAGGTAAAAATATTGACCTCAGATTGTTGAACAGTTGTGTTAAAGACTGGAAAATGTTATTCTTAATAAATATGCAATTCAGGAAAGACTGAAAGACTTCATTCTCAAGATTCATATATAATAGATTTGAAAATTAGGTTCCAAATATTAAATTATTAAATGTTCAAATGATTCTATTCTAAATGGATTTAAAGATTTCATTCTAAATATGAAATTCTAAAGATCTGAATATGAAAATGGAGATTTGATCATTTGAGTCTAAATATATATTTTAAAAGATTCAAAAGATTCTATTGTAAAGACTGAATGCAAAAAGGATTCAAAGATTCTAGTCTAAAGATCCAGTTCTAAATAGTTTCTAAGGCTGTTTTAATAGATGAACTGCCTGCGAAGCGCTTAGTACGGAAAAAATTCCATTCTAAATAGATTCAAATATTTCATTATAAAGATTCCATTCTAAATAAATCCAAAGATTCCATTCTAAAACAAAATGATCTATTTTTGATCAATTTAACATATCCTTGCTGAATAAAAGTATAGAATAAATTAGAATAATTTCTAAAAAAATTAATTAAAATAAATAAATGAATAATAATTACAAAAAATTGTACTGACCCCAAAAATGTAATGTCAAAATGTTATCCTAAATAAATATGCAACTCAGAGAAGATTGAAAGACTCCATTCTCAAGATTCAAATATAACACTTAAAAAAAAAATACATTCGAAATATTCAATTACTAAATGCTGTTGTTTCTATTCTAAATGGTTTCAAAGATTCCATTCTAAATATTAAATCCTAAAAAATGATTCAAAAGATTCCATTTGAAAGAGTCAAATATAAAAGATCTGATCATTTGAGTCGAAATAATAATAAAAAAAAGATTCAAAAGATTCAACTAAATATTAAGTGCAATAAGGTTTCAAAGATTCCAATCTAAAGATTCAGTTCTAAAATGATTCTAAGGCTGTTTCATAGCACTAGATGAACAGCCTGCTGAGAGTGATGTACAGCTACTGTAAACAAACAGCATTCCTCCATAGCAACACATACAGACATGATCAAAGTGGACACAAATGCCAACAGATTTTGCACTATGCTGATATATTGATGCTTTTGCTCGACTACCATTCACCCCAGTGATCTTGGACGTCTAGTGTTTTAGCGATCACTAACTGTGACATTGTTGAAAGGTGTACATGATTAATGTGTCCCAGTTAGACTGCTTTTATATTAGAGGAATGCAGTCTCTTACGGGTAAATAAGGGGCCAGGGCTCCACATGCTTCCGCCACCAGAAGTCTTCTCTCTGGATACTTGTGGTTGATCTGAGCGAGAGAAACACACATGTGACAGACAGCGAAAGACACAACACGGCAGCATCAGTTCCAGCTCTGACCACAGGACTGCATACCCACCCGCACCCTCTCTAAACCACATTAGCTCATATTTTTCAGTGTTAAACGCTGAAATTGTTTAGGTTATTTCCTCAGAGGAAATAGCTTTCCATGTGGGGAGATGCGAATGTACTGTACTTTTGAGAATTTCCTTAACATGACGTTGTGTACCAAGCCATGGACATGATCTACAGTGGCTTCAAAATGTTTTTGGACAATTTAATTCACACTTTAAGTTTGAGAGTCATTGTAGAAATGATAGAATATTTATAAATATATGGATAAAACCTTTCTGAGCCATTTTGTAACTACTTTTACATTTTTAAATACATTTTAACCAACTGGTCTTTCAAAATCTTTTAGGATACTTTTTGAAACGTAAAAAAAAAAAGTGTAATTATTAAAACCTACAAAAAATAAATAAATAAATATTCAATTACTGTGTGTTTTTTCTGCATTTATCCAATAAAACTCTTAAGACTAAAAAGATTCCATCCATTTTTTTTCACCTAAGTTTAAGTATTAAAATCTAAAAAGTTTGAAATATTTGAAAATTCAGTATTCAATTATTGTTTACTATGTCCAAAGAAATCTAATTACTCGAAGTCTTTAATTACATACACAAGATTCAAATAGAAATGTTTTTTTTTTAATTGACCAAATATTTAATTTAAAAGTTTAAATTCCATTCGAAAAATGTTCAAATATTCTATTGTCAAGATTACTTTCTAAATAGATTCAAATATGCTAATTCTAAAAGGATTCAAAGATTCCACTGTAAAAAATAGTCAAATACTCCATTATAAAGATTCCACTGTAAAAAGGTTAAAATATTCCATTATAAAAACTCCATCAATAGATTCAAAGACGGAATTCTAAAAAGAATCAAAGGTTCCATTGTAAAAATATTCAAATATTCCATTATAAAGATTCCACTGTAAAAAGGTTAAAATATTCCATTGTAAAGACTCCATTAATAGATTCAAAACGGAATTCTAAATGGAATCAAAGGTTCCATTCTAAAAATATTCAAATAACCCATTCTAAAAAGACAAAAAAATTGAAACTGATCAAGTAAAAGCTAAAAATGCTAAAAAAAATTTAAGTTTGACTTAAATGTCCAAATACGTTTGAGACCACTTTAATGCACCATATTCTACACTTCCATAGTACTTTTTCCAAGTCCACTTATAATGTTAGTAAAGGTTTTTGACCCCAAAAGTCGTTACAAATGTAGTTTTCCATGACATTTTTACACTTCCTCTAACCCTGATAAACAGTAGCTTATTTTGCCACTGCATCTTCTATATGCAAATCATCCATGCTTTGATTGGCTAACCTTCTCACATATAAAAACTATTACAGATATATAGATAAAAAAGTTCTTAGGATGTAACAAAATTGTTGTTTTGACCATTTGGTTTGTGTGACTGACAGAGTATGCCTACACAGTTGAAAAGCAATTATGTGGAGAGTGTGTATGAGTACAGAACTAACCTGTTCCCAGCACTGTGGCAGGAGTTCGGCTTCCACCCGAGTGGGACCCACATGCCGGGCGAATGCCACACACCCGGTCAGAATCATCTGCCTGGAGAGGAAGATTACAGCAGAGTGTTATCAAACTCATAACAAAACCGATTTTTTTTTGGTCAGTTTACACATGAGCAGATGCCTAAATGTGCACACACCTCTGCTCATCGTCAGGTCTCTTGATAAGATTAAAGAGGATGTGCAGTAGCTGGTCTCTTTCTTTGGGCTCGGGATGCAGGCAGGCCGTACACAGAATGAGAGGAATCAACTCCTGTGGACACACACAGGAACGCAGGTCAAAAAACATGCACTGCACAGGGAAATACACACACGCATGCATCTCCTGAGACCATCCCAATAGGCTTGGACAAGGAACTTCTGCAAATAGGTATTTGAGGATATGGGAAAAGCTACTCTATTGAAGAAACACCTTCACCACAGAGGAGAGAGTCTACAAGCCACTAAATCGCAGCACCAACAAGGGCTGGGTGATATATGGGATATTCACGGCATGTTTGGAACTAAATTGTTGGTGATATAATATTTAAAACACTGTGTATACTGAAATTATTTAGATTTGGTCATTAAGTTTCCTAAAAACTCTCAATTTTCACAATCGAACAATTCTCAAGTTTGAAAGCATTTAGATTTTAACTTTAAAAATAATGTTAGTGTTAAAATAAATTAATAAAAAAATAAAAATAAAAATAAAATAAAAAAAAACAGTAATTCAATGTCATTTAGTGTTTTTATTTTTTAAGTTGCATGGCATTTTTATTAAGTAAAAAATACATTTCCAAACGTGTTAACAAATACATATATATATATATACACACACACACACATTTAAAAATATTTATAATTAATTACATTTATATGATTTTTGTTTTATGACGTTACCATTTTCTGTCTGGAAAATAATTTTTATGAATTTAGTTATCTTTGTACATTTGCATGACATTCCTATGATCTTTTAACATTTATTAAGCCTGGAAATCACACATTTGAAATTCTCTGATATTTCCAGGTCTATGGAAACCCCACATATATTGGTGCATATATATGAAATTTAATTAAAGATAATTATTCCCTGTTCACTTAATGCAAAGCTACTTGGGGAAAAAACTTTTTTTTAAAATTTTTAACTGGAATTTATGGCTGTATAATGGTTTGGTTTAAAAAAAAAAACTTTTCAGAACAAACAAATAAATATAGAAATAAACAGAATTTTGTCAAAAGGCTCAAAACTATTGATATATATTGCCCAGTACTAGCACAAAGACATATTGAAGCGCATGTCTGTATCATCATGCGTGTATGTGGATGTAGACTCTTAAGTATGTACAAAGCCATTTAGCCATGTAAATCTGTGGTTGTTTACCATAACAGTGAGAAGCAGTTATGAAAAACCTCATCAGCACAACAGATATCGCATTACAGAACAGGCAGTGTGCCCTTGGTCCAAGTCTCATGGCCAAACAGTGGTTATTAGCCCCGTTTTCCACGAAGACCAAGAATAGAAACAACAGATCAGGATTCCCATGAAGATTAGACACAGAAGTGTTTATTTTCTCTAGATTTATCTCATCTTGAGACGTGACTGTGGCAAGAGCTCAGCCTCAAACAGACACTTTAAAGTGAAAGATAGTCAAGTAAACATGAAGCAAGACTGCAGGCTGTTTGACGCTGTGCTTGTTTGTTTGGACGGCTCTTTCAATACACCCGTTTCTGGGGGGGAGAAGTTACCTGCCAAGAGTTAAAACCATAATTGTATTTGGATTTCAGAGATGTTATGAAACTAATGGTTGGTCTGTTGGAGACGGCAATGAGCCGTTTCATCAGTAGTGACTTTGTGTGAGAGTGTGGCATTATGAGTTAGCAGCGTCGCCTGCACCTGGACGAGAGCTTTCAACAGAGCCACATTTATGAAATATTTTATTTGGCTCTGGCCCAAAGTGAAAGTGTGAAAATGTGTGAGTGGAAACAGAACTTTTATGGAAGAGCTACTGGAAAAAGATTAACGATTAGAAGCAGGCATTACGAATGGGAAGAGTATTAAGGCATTAAGAATGGGAACCAATAGATAATTGCACACACTAATCGTATTTGGGCCCTGTTTAAACTATAGAGGATGCTTCCAAGAAAAACAGCATTTTTATAAAATAAAATAAAAGGAAATAATAATCTCATCGCATAAAAAAAAAAAACAACAACACACAAATTATTCTAGACCGTTCTGACACTTTGACCAAAGAATTCCATATTGTTGTTATAACAGTGTATTTTGTTTTGTAATTCATAACTAACATTTTTTTTAAATATATAATTTATGAATATAATGTCAGTAACACTTTACAATAAGGTCCCATTAGTTACTGTTAGTTAATGTATTAACTAACATGAACAAACACTGAACAATACATTTATTACAGTATTTATTAATCTTTGTTAATGTTAGTTGATGAAAATACAGTCGTTCATTGTTAGTTCATGTTAATTCACAGTGCATTAACTAATGTTAACAAGCACATTTTAATAATGCATTAGTAAATGTTGAAATTAACATTAGCTAAGATTAATAAATGCTGTAGAAGTATTGTTCATGCTTAGTTCATGTTAACTAAGGTAGTTAACTAATTAACCTTATTGTAAAGTGTTACCATAATGTCTTTCTGTGATGCATTTCACTAAAAAAATTAACTACTTGTAATTGTATTTAGGTCCTGTTTTAAACTATAAGGAAAATTTAACTACACCAAAAAACAATCAAACTCTCATTTCATTAGATAACAAAACAGAGGATTCTAGAGGGTTCTTACACTTTGACCAATGATTTTCCATGAATTTACCCTAACGTTCCATTATTTTGTAATTTTGAAAAATAACTTTATATCTTGTTGTTATAACAATGAATATTGTTTTATTATTAATAAATAAAAATGTTTTTGTTTTAAAATGTCTAAATAAAATGGCTTTGTGATGCATTTTGCTTGACAACCTCACTTTAATTATTTATAATACATTTATAATAAATACATTTTTTTATCAAATGCAATGACATTTGTTTGTGGCTGAAGTCTCCAAACACTTTTGGGCCAATGTTGCTACAAAAAGGCAAACAATAAAATCTGTTCTAAACTCTCACTAAACAAAGAAAAAACAAAAAACAAAACAAGAACTTGCACGTTTGGATTCCTTGTCACTTTATATCTTGTTGTTATAACAATGAATATTGTTTTATTATTAATAAATAAACATGTTTTTGTTTTAAAATGTCTAAATAAAATGGCTTTGTGATGCATTTTGCTTGACAAACTCACTTTAATTATTTATAATAAATACATTTTTTAATCAAATGCAATGACATTTGTTTGTGGCTGAAGTCTCCAAACACTTTTGGGCCAATGTTGCTACAAAAAGGCAAACAATAAAATCTGTTCTAAACTCTCACTAAACAAAGAAAAAACAAAAAACAAAACAAGAACTTGCACGTTTGGATTCCTTGTTACTCCAAATGGTTTCCCATGAAAACTTGTATCTATATGCAAATTTTCAGTTATACCATCAGCCTGCATTGACTCATTTCTTAAACACAAAGGAAATCAACTGCTCCATTTCAAGATAATTACCAGCAGAAAGCAAAGAGGCCCAATCAGAAATACACCCATATATGCAAACACACCAGACCTAATTCTGCAGTAAGAAGGGGGTTTTGGACTGTTGCAAACACACAGTGTAATGGTTGCTATATTTGATGTCTTATCAGTTTTACATGGTAATCAATAACTTGAATGGTCTTTAATTTGAAAGACTTTATCTTTACAATAAAGTTCTTCTAGGAGTGCAGATGACAGGAATCATATCGCAAGGCAGGTGTTCCAGCAGCGCCTGATTAGTAATTGTTCTGCACCAGATGAGGGGAAAACTGAGGGTGTGTCAGAGTGTGAGTGTGTCTGAATTCAAGGAAGGAGGTTACGAAGCCAACAGAACTAACAGGCAAAGCTCAAAGTCCAGTTTAGCAAGGAGATCTCTACTCTCGTGCGGTGTTTGTTATTACCCGACTTCAGCCTGGAAAGCATCCAATCCATCTTAAACCGTCACCTGGCTCCCGTAAAACAGAACTGCCCTATGCAAATCAGAGGGGCCCGATGAGGGAAATGCTGTGGAACTTACTTGGAATGGTACACACCTTTGGGTCTGCTCTCAACAGATGTGAAATGTGTGCACGTACCTTAAGTTTTTTTTTCTTTTTTCAAAATTTTAGTCATTTAAACCAAATCAGCTCTGTAATAGGGAGGCAAAGAAAACACTTTAAACTCAGACCAGGTTTCACCGTCGGCTGAAATGCAGGCACTGAATTAATGCAGCCTGAAGCACAGAAAAATCACAGCATAGAAATGTTCCATTGGCTTGGCTGTCAAAGTTTAATTTGGAATTATTTGTCTAAAATTGCTATTTAGTTTTTTGTTAAAAAAATTTGACAGCTACTGTAAACGGCTAACAGTTGGACTAATTTATTTGCAGAAAAAAAATATGACTTTTTAATTATTATTAAGAATTTTACTAAGCTAACAAACAATTTTAGTTAACTAAAAATTAAACTATATATTCATTGAACAATGTTGCAATTTATGTTGCTGTTGCAATCATTTTATGAAAGCAACAAAGCAAAAAATGTATTTCTTACTTAGTATTTTTGTCTTGTCTTCCCATTACAACTATCGAAACATTCTTAAATCAAGATATATTAACTTGAAAAGCATTACAAAATAAGATATTAAGTTTTGTTTTCTGAAAAATGTATCAAAATTGAGAAAAACTATATATGCAAACGTGCAAGAAAAATAATCTTGTTTTTACTTTGAATTAAGATTTTTTTTTTTTTTACCCCAGTGTCAGATATTTTTCTTGTTTTAAGCAAAGACTAACATATACATTTAGATTTTTTTTTGTCCTCAGAAAACAAGACTTCTTTTTTTTTTTAAAGTTTTGCTTTTCAAGTAAACGTATATTAATTCAAGAATTTGTAGATATTTGTGCTGGAAAGCAACAAAAACACAAAGTAAGAATGTTTTTTTTTTTTTGCAGTGAATAAGAAACTTCAAGGGGCAGTCACACTAAACTTTGGGGATGCAACATGTCTTCAGACACTGCAGACGAGGTATGACCTCATAGATGAGATATGACGTCACACTCTATAGTGCTTTTTTTTTGTTTTTTTACGCAAATTCAACAAATATATAAATAATGAAAAATCTAAAATGTTAAAATATACAATTAAGTTTTTTTCTTGCAGCTCTAATGTTTTTCATTCTTTAAATTCAGCTAAGAGGTTATGCTGTGACATATCAATCTTCTATTGGTCACACATCTTCATGTAATATAAAATTAACTTTGGAACGCACTGAAATGTGAAACGTCTGTTGCTGGTCTACCGTATTCACATGCATATGAACGCAAGTCATTGGAACAAAAAGTGTAGTGCGACTGCCCCATAAGACTGAATGTTTTACCACAGTTATGCGTTTTTAGGCACGCCACTTTACATCCTGCTTATGAATACTCTTTAATAGTAGTAGCTTTTAAAAAAGCTTTTAATACTCCTGAGTGCAAGATTAGCCAACAATATTTTTCTGTTATGCTTCCCAGGAAGAGAAAGACATTTTAAAACACATTTTTTTCAAAACTGTTTTCCCAGTTTAGTCACGTATGTATTGCTTGTTTTGCTGCATTTACTTTATCATAAATATTCCAACAAAAGTTCAAATGATTAAAAATGTAAATGTACATACAGTGGGGAAAAAAAGTATTTAGTCAGCCACCAATTGTGCAAGTTCTCCCACTTAAAAAGATGAGAGAGGCCTGTAATTTTCATCATAGGTATACCTCAACTATAAGAGACAAAATGAGAAAAAAAAATCCAGAAAATCACATTGTAGGATTTTTTAAGATTTTTTTTCTCATTTTGTCTCTCATAGTTGAGGTATACCTATGATGAAAATTACAGGCCTCTCTCATCTTTTTAAGTGGGAGAACTTGCACAATTGGTGGCTGACTAAATACTTTTTTGCCCCACTGTAAGCTTCGGAAAAGCATTACATAAATAAAAAGGTATTATTTATATATCATTATAAACCATAAAAAATATACTACTACTACTAATAATAATAATAATATTATAAATAATAATTTATAAATTGTTTCATTATAGATTATTACTGTGAATTAGTAAAAAAAAAACCTAGTCTAAAAAAATGACATTTAGAGCTTCATCAGTTTAGATGTTCAGTACAAAGCAAAAGTTTGCATTTAAAAGTTGAAAATAATCATTCAATAAAAATGTATAAATGGAAATGCATTTGAGTCACTGACAACTAAGGAAGCTGATGAAAAGCCAAGCCAACTGAAAGGTCAAAGGTCACACGCATGATGAAGGAAGGAGGGCTGATGTGAGAACATGCCGATGTGTTCCACTCACCTGACAGAGGTGTACAACCATTCTCTATCGGTGCAGTGAGATGCATGCACAAAAGCAAGAGAAGAAATGAGTGAATAGAACAAAAGAGAGAGAGGTGGATTGGGTTGGGGGCATAGAGAGAGAGAGAGACACACACAACTGCTATGGAAAACAATAAGTTGAGTCATTGTTGAATTAAGAATAGAATGAGAGGAGAAGCCAGCCGCAGTGGACATGGAAGCCACAGTGGCTGATGGAAGATGAGCTGGGGCTGTTGGGTCAAAAGGTCATTGGTTACCTCTCGCTTGGCCAGCAGGACGTTGGGTACGATGTGTGGCAGACAGCGGCCCAGCATGAGCATGACGCTCTGCTCACTGTCAGCGATTCGAGACACCTGAGAAACGAGCGCACTTGAATTAGGCACAAAAATGTCGCCACAAAGACCAGCAGAGGCAAACACGTCAGACATTTCATTTAATCGCACGTGCCTAAAAATGACTGCATAGCTGCAACCCGAGAACCTTTTCTGCTTTTGTATTCTGGACATAGAAGACACTGTGAACTCTGTGACCTCTCAAACGTACCTATTATTCTGAAAGCAACTGAACCACTTCTAGTGCACTTCTTTCTGTTCTAATGACTGGTCATGATAGTTTAAAGGAAGAGTGCACTAAAAAAAAAAAAACTATGATTGTCGGCATTTATTCGCCCCTCATGTTTGTTCCAAACCTTTTTGACTATATTAACAAAACAAAAGCACCATAAAAGTGGTGCATATGAAGGCATTGTATAGCTTTGTGTGATGAATAGACTGAAATTTAAATCATTATCCGTTGAGAATCTTCCTCTCCAGTGAGCATAGAGTCAGTGACTTTATAACCAAATCCGTGTTATTTTAGTATTATTTATATAATATTATATTACTTATTCATATTTTGAATCAGCTTTTTTTTTTATCAAAGTTTATGCTTTAGCAATTTTGATATCTTTTTAAAAATATTTCTATTTAGCTATTATTTAATATTCTTTCAGTTTTAGTCATTTTACTACTTAAAGGTCCCCTGAAATGCTTAGAAACACGCAGCGTTACTCTGTGTTGACATCATTTGAACTGAAACAGGAAGACAGGGTGGGACATATCAAGCCGCCCCGCCCCTTTTTAAAATAGCCAATAGCGTTCGTAGCAGAGTGTGTGTGCGGTGCGGTGGTTAGCGTGACACAGCGCGAAACCAAACTTCTTTTTTTCCTCAATGGAAAGCATATTTACACTGTTTTAATCGTTCCCTGTCCCCTCTGTAGTGCACTACGTGCCATTTACTGTACAGAAAATACTAATTCTGTGAACAAGTGCTCGATTTCAGCCACGGCTTCAGCGTCTATTTTATAGTGTAGGGGGCGGGCGCTTCGGATTCTAGAGAGCATTTGATTGTTCAGAAGGTTTGATGAGAAGCTGAAGTACGACGTGACGTCAAAAAAATCATTGAGCCGTTTTGGCAGAAGTAATGATCTGCAAGCTTTGAATGCTTATATCTTCTAAATGCGAATTTTGTCACTGTTTTGGAGCGCACTGCCTTATAGATAACCTTAAGACTAACATATTGATACTAACACCCAAAAAACTTTAATTTTGATTTCATGGGGACTTTAAACTTATTTACTTCAGTTAGTTGACAAGGCAACATTTTTGTTTAGGTTTAAGTTAAAATGTAAGTTTTTCATCAGTTATTTAAATTTTGTTTTATTTCAGTTTTATTTCAATTATTGAAAATTATTTTTAGTAGCTTTAGTTTTATTGAACACTAACAACACACTTAACTGAATCAGTTTGCTTAATGAATGAATCATTGAGACTTGGTTTTGTGTGCTGGATCTATTAAAAAACTTAAATTATTTATGAAAGTTAAAAGAATGATGACTTTGGGGGAAAAAAAAAAAGAAAGATTCATTCATGAAATGAAAATGTCACCTACTTAAGAGAGTTAATGGACAGATTTTCAGTGAATAACTACTTATATTTGGTCTGTTCGTCACACAGTGCTATTGTATGGCTTCAGAAGATTTACAGGAATACACAGTGCATTAGGAGCTTTTTATTGAAACATTTATGGTGTTTTTAAAACCTTTTTAACATTAGAGGCTGCAGGGTATTCACTGTAATTGCACTGCCAATTCAAAAGTGAAAAAAATCTCCTTTTGTGCTCCATATAAGACAGTCAGTCACACTGATTTGAAACCACATGAAGGCGAGTAAATAATGACTGACTTATTTAGATGAACTATCTCTCTAAGTGTCACAACAGGGAGACCCTACATGTGCTTGTGCTTTTGTTCCTGTATGCTACCCGATCCCACTCACCTCTGAGCCCAGCCGACTGTCAGCAGACATTCGACAGAAGGACAAAAGTGCTTGGTGGAAGACCGGAGACAGCTTTCTGCACAAGCAAACAAAACATGATTTAACAAGCCACCTCCACCTCCGGTTACCAATAACTCTACATATTAGCCCAGCTTTCCACAGCACAGAGCAAAACGCTGATAAAGGAACAGTCAAAACAAGGAGAGGGTAATTTGTCTGAAACAGCCTAGAGGGGTAAAAGTCCATCCGGAGCAGATGTGCAAAACGCCAGTCAGCACTGCAGTAAGATTTGGATGAGGACCGCAATAGTGCTTAATGCAGTGCTGCCATCTATTGGCCATAACAGCTACGTTAAAAAATATGCTGCCTCAATTGTCTACAGCAGTGGTTTTCAATCCTGGTCCTGGGGACCCACCGCTCTGTACATTGTTGATGTCGCTCTTATCTGACAGACTCAGTTCAGTTCATGGAGCTCTCACCTAATGAGCGGATGATCTGAATCAGGTGTGCTAAATAAAGGAGAGAAAATGTGCAGAGTGGTGGGTACCCAGGACCAGGACTGAAAACCACTGGTCTACAGTCTAAACAGAATAGGTTACTGACTCTTCCGGATCAGACTACACGATTTTAGCTCGATTTTGCCAAGATTTGCTTGACGTAGGGTGTCGTGGGGATTCGTAAACGGCAATGGGCGTCGGGACGCAAGATTCCATCGTTTCAGCACGTGTAGGGTGTCATAGTGGACGACAAAAGATTCTGCGTCTGCGATGCTTCACGACATCACGACTAGCATGTTGAATTTTTTTTCTGTCGTCCACGACGAGTTCTGTCACATTGGTGACGTTGACCAATAGCAGCACAGAAGCCATTTCATACACAGGTTTCAAACATGGCAAAACGAAAGAGAGATGATGGTGCTGCTAGGTGGAATTAAGAGATGGAGGAAAGGTTCGTGGAGCTGTGGCAACAGTACTCCTGCATGTATGATGTGTCATCGAGGGACTACCACGACAGAACAAAGAAAGAAAAATGCTGGCGAACTATAGCGGAAGCGCTTCAGCAATGTTTACACTCTTGTTTTCGGAAGGCAGTCACTAGTTCCGCCTTCTCAATGACATCACGCACGTCGTTAAAGACGGCACGCGATGAATGGTCGGGAAGCAACGTGTAGTCTGACATGTTTCTTGTCCACGACACGACAAGATTTTAGGAGTCAAAATCGTGTAATCTGACACAGTGACTATCGTGACCGACAAAAATATTGTGTAGTCTGAACCCGGCATTAGGCTACGTTCACACTGCGAGCCTTAGTGCTCAATCCCGATTTTTTTTCTCAGATCCGATTTTTTTGTATAGCGGTTCACATTGTTGTTTAAATGTGGCCAATATCAGATTTCCAGTGTGAACAGATCATGGTTCTGAACTGACCCGTATGCGCAAAAGAACGATTTGAACAGGGTTTCCAGATTTTCCACAACAAAATCCACCCAATTCTTTCTCAAAACTAGTTCAAAACTAGCTCAATCATGTTCAGGTGGTAAACACTGCGCTAGTGAGGTCGCGTCAACCCACGAAGTTGAGAAACATCCCACGGCCATAGAGGAAAAAGTAGCCCAATTCCACGGGTGGACTGTGGATTTGGCAATACTTGCGCAGCGCGACGTCATTTGGAAGTAAACACGGAGGATATAAAGTAAGCGATTATGCATTTATTTACAGTGTGATCTGCTGCAGAAGCCAGCGAAATTATGCACAGGTAATATGAAAATATAAAGACAAGGATGTGACAAATGAAAGCAGAGTTTTGAAACGTTTATGATACGAGCCCTCATGTTTTGCTTGTAGAGTTGTCACCGTAATACACATGAGTTCTGATACATCACACTTCCACTGATTACCTTTCGCTACTGTCTTGTTAACTTTGGGTATGTAAAATCTTTGAAGTGTCTCCCGTCTGCGCGGAATTATGACGAATGTCGATCTAAAGTGACATAAAAGCCGCATGAAATCATGACATGGATCGGATTTAGTAGCACATATGGAAGTGGCACAAATCAGAATTGAAAAGATCAGATTCCATGCGGTTTGTGCT